TCGCACCGCATATAGGATTTGTAGAAAAGGCACGGTGATCGTAGCTGTATACTACAGCTGTGATAACTTTCATTTCGATGTATGCGAACTGAATAAAGTGAATCCAAAAAGTTACACACACCAAAGAGTGAGATATACAAATAGTATAATTTTCAAAGAAAACGTCACATTTTAGTTGGAATTTTAGTTGTCATTTTGCATGCTCTATCCAATTTTTAGCATGGTGCGCTAAAAATATCATGGCATGTTTACTTTTAAAAGTCACTTATTATTCAAGTTAGGTTTCGCTTCTCTTTATTCCCTGTCGGTTACTCTGGTGACGAGTCACACGTCACAGTACATTAATTTACTCATCATCGCTTTTCGCTCAAGTTTTGTTTTATTCTGTACCTTTGTTTATGGATTAGTTTGACTTCATTTCAATAACACAGTGATATTTAAAAAAATTAGCGATTTATTTCATCAAAAATATAAATTACAAAAGTAGTAAAGGATACTTCAAACCCCCACCACATAACAGTGACTTAAAATTTTCAAAAACCTTTTTCCTGGAAAATTGTTCAAATTTCAAAGGTCTAGACTGGTAACGATAAATTTAATCATTTATTGAGGTTTTCTCACCACTTCTTACCAAAAATTTCCTAGAGTTTTTAAATTTTATCAACTCGATTCAAAACTTTAGTGCCTTACATTCGATTACAATGTTACAGTCAAATTTAACGCGGAATTCACGAGTCAGGTGATAGATTTTCCATGAATCGCATTATTTGAATAAAAATTAGAAGAAAAAAAAGAAGACAGCAATAATATATATTTTTTTTTAGTCATGGGCGCGAAATAGGAGAGGTGAAGCAATATCGCCTAGCCTCGTTTTAAATACGCAATTCCACGCTAAATATCTCACTTCGTCAATCAGAATACGAGATTTTATTCATTATGTGATTCTGTTTAAAATGTCCTGATGATCTACACGTAAGAGAGACAATTTTTCCCCACGGTAATATCCAAAACGATTACAGAAAAGTATATTTTTTACTTATTTAGTTTTTCTCTAAAAATAAACGAATCAGTTATTTGGTGTGTTACACCTTGCAAAATTTCCCTACAAGGGAGTTTGTTGTAAAGTGTCTTGCTTGAGTAGCAAGTTGGAAATACCGTTTGGCATTTCATTAAGAGTAAACTAATTTGGGGGATTTACCCATTAAGTTTGCTTCCTTGCAAACAGTAGCAATCTCCTGTTTATTGTCCGCCGCTTGTTGTCAACTTGGGCAATTTGTTGCTACCAATCTTTCTAAACTGAGTGATTCATAACGATTAAATACACTACTTCGACTTTATAACTTTACCATCTTTGAGTAGGCGATCGACCACCTTCCACTCAACACAGTAAACAGAAATTTCTTAACCCCCCCCCAACAAAGTTTCATTGTTTTGTGACCAGGAAACATTGATACGGGGAAGAAAGGGGGGGGGGATTAAGTGAGAGAAGAAAATTCAAATAGGAAGC